TGCTGGCCATGTGACCAGGTGGAAGTGGCTGGCTGGCCATGTGACTGGGTGGGAGTGGCTTGTCGGCCATGTGACTGGGTGGGAGTAGCTTGCCGGCCATGCGACTGGGAGGGCATGGCCAACTTGTAAAATGTGGAGAAATTCACTTAACAACGCTCTTGCTTAGCAACCAAAATGTTGGCTTGGCATTTGAAGCACACAAGTCTTAAAGCTGTCAAGTTATTAGGCCCTTTCACCCCTAACCCTTTAAAAAAGAAACCCAGGGGTGTTTAAACTTGACAGTTTTAAGACTTGTGGACTTCAACTCCCAGAATTCCTCCTCTCGCTCTTCATCTTGATGATAGGCGGGGGGAGGGAGCTGGAACCAGTTCTAAATGGCACTGTAGATTTGTGGAACCTCTTTTGTAGAAGAGGTTTGAAATGGCAGGAACCCACCCCTGCAGCCGGGGTAGCAAAGTAGCAGTAGCACATTATCTGCTTGTAACCTGTCCAGTTGCTTCTGATCATCTGCACACCCCAGATGGATCAGAAGGTGGAACAAACAGATTTTCAAAGCAAGAGTTTTAAATGACATTCTCATTTTTCCCATTACAGGATACTAACCCTATATTAGGATTCCCTATAAAGAAATCAAACACTGGATAATGTTTCTAGTCAGATGTTACTCACTTAATACCACTATATAATCTTCTCTGGCTCATGCAGGATATCCGAAAGACCTAATTCTGCATATCCTTACATAGGAGCTGCAGCACTCTGTCAGCATTCAAATGTACTGAGACTAAAATGATACCATATTATTCTGAGCAATCTCAATAACTGAAGATTAAAGAATAAAAATTGCAAACAAATTGGATCCAATCTCTGTCAGACCTGTGTAGAATGTAAACACTTGCTAAGTTCCCTTACTCAGCTGAAGCAAGGAAAAAAGAACATGTATTGTAATGCATATAGCAGAAACAGAGATGGAAAAAACTCCCAGATACTAGTAAAGAAAAACCTTAACGGTCAAACCTAATGTGCTTCCAAATGGCTTTTTTTTTGCTTTGTAGAATGGCTAAAACCCTACCAATCTAGCTATCCCTCATCAAATGACTGTCCACTCTCACCTACCTGGTAACACTTTGCAGAATTTTCCGTTCATCTTGATCAAGGCATACAGCAAAGGAGCAGTTAACTCCAGTGATCTGGACTTTGTCCACTTTCAACTGATATATACCAATTTGCTATAAGAAAAACATAAAAGAGATTGTTTCATAGAGACACATTTTTGCTTCCCTCAGCCATAGCAATTGGGACAGTGGGTGGCATCATTGATCAGGTACCTGATTGAAACTCTTTTTAGATTTAGAGCTTTGCCTCTTGATTACCTCTGTGGCAGTAAGAGTCAAGCATTCTGTTTTGGGACCTGGAAGGCAAAAGGAAATAAAGGTAATAGCCAAATGTGGAATCTCCATACCAACCTTCACAAACTGATTAACCAGTAATTATTAACTACTGAACTACAACACCCCATTCTCAATCAGCATGACTGTCACTGCATCATGGAACACTTAATAAAGTCATTTGCATTAGCGTATATAGCAGTAGACTTATATACCGCTTCATAGGCCTTTCAGGCCTCTCTAAGCGGTTTACAGAGAGTCAGCATATTGCCCCCAACAATCTGG